TCGACGATAGAAGCCATGGCACCTCCTTCCTTCCGCTCGCTTGAAGAATTTTAAATGCGTTTTATGTACAGAGACGACGTGGTGCGTTGCATAAATCTATCTTTCCCTTTCTTTCTCTTATTTTCTTTTTTTTTTCTTTTCTTTATCTTGTTCGAGTTCTTCTTCTTCTTTTTTTTCTTCTTCTTCTTCTTCTTCTCTTTTTCTTTTACCATTTCTCAGCAAACCCCTCATTTCTTGAAAATATGATTACAATCACTGCTTCGCACCGAAAGGTCTCTCCCCCTAGGTCCTACAAACCTTCAACCACCTTCAACCCACTTCTTTCCTCTCTTTCTCTCTTTCTCTTTCAAATCTCCACCTCTCGTACCAATCAGAATACTCGCGGTGATAAAACGTTTCATTTCGTTCGGGGTTGTTTCCGACGGAAAGAAGACTTCGAATAATCCTCACCTGATTATTGTTGTTCGTTATTCCTTTGTACACTCCATTTAAATTTTTATATATATCTTATTGGATTGGCAACTAAATCATTGCTGATTTTAAAAATCCATCGATCGACAAAATTTGCAATTACTGAGTTGCCAACCCAATATATACTAGGGGTGCCCTGCCACACGTTGCTGTGGCTTACAATCAGTCTGATACACACGTCTTTAAGTCAACGAATTACCTTATACTGCCATCTGTTAGAATCTTATCGAACAAACAGAGATAATCATGACTCTTTGTTAATAAACAAATAATATTGCGATTATAAATTGAGATATAAACAATCCTATCTTTCAAGTTGGATGAAACAGCACACAGTATGCAAAATTTGATTAAAATCGGTTCAGTAGTTTAAGAGTCCATTGCGGACAAACAACGTGACACATAATTTATATATATTAAGAAGATATAGTAATACTCTTAAAAAAAAAAAAAAATAAAAGGTGCATCTATTTTATATAAAATTGTATATCGTATTTAAAAAAGTGTACACGTCACTTTAATAACAAATATAAAATGAAATACTATGAATGAATGAGAGAGAAGTTAAACGAAATGATTGTTCTCCCTTCCACCAATAGTATCACCTTTTACCCTCTTTACATCTGCGTGCTCGCGTGTCTCTGCGTGCTCACTTTTCTCGTTCACCATTGCCCATGGACTCCTCCGTGCATGTTGCATTCGTTTCGACGTAATTACCATGATTATTCTTCGTATTCTTCGCGCGGTACACACGTTCAACGATTTGTCGCGTTAATGCGATAAACTCACGCTTTTAAACAGGAAAGAGATTCACATTTTATATTATATCTATGTATTTATTTATAAATACTTCTATTATATACACGTATATACATAATCATTAATGTGTCAGTATGAGTATGTGTGTGTGTATGTGTAAAATATTTATCATTCATTTAACGTCACATCGGTCTACATAAAAAAACACTGTAAAATAATTAACTAATACATGTGCATATATAACATAAATGCATATTTATTTCACATGTTAAAATAATTAATTAAAATCATTATTAATTATTTAAAACATATACATATATATAAATATACTTATTAAGTTTACTTAAACCAATTGGTTTACTGTCTATTATATTGTAACAAAAAGGTGCATTCATTTCTACTAACGACACTGGAGTTGTAAGTTATGTGTAACAATCTTGTTGCCAATCGATGAAGTCCTTCTCTCTCTCACACTCACACTCTCTTTCTATCTCTATCTTTCTCTCTTTCTTTTTTACCTGAATACTACTCAAAGTAACACTCACGAGAATGCAGGTAGAGAAGTTGTTCCAAGTCAGAAATAAACAGTGCTGCTGGAAAATAATAAAGTTCATGTATATATATAAATATATATATATATATGTATATATGTTCCCTTCATGCATATATAAATACAGTACGGTTTATCGAAGTTATATTGTAAGCTTCATTTGCATGAGCTCGATCATGTTCTTTTTCACCTTTCTCTCTCTTTCTCAAACGCGCAGCTGGACATACACGCGACAAAAAAAAACGCGTTAACAAAACAACACGCAACCAACGACGACAACGACGACGACGACGACGAAAATGATGACGATGACGATGCTGGACTATACTTTGTGAAACTCTTACTTGAAACATAAACATACTAAGAATTAACATTATTCTATATAGTAGCATCATATGAATTATTATGGTTATTCTTTACTACGAACATTTTACATTTTATTTATATATAAATTTGATTGCAAAGAGTAAACAACATTGAGAAATTTTAGGAAAGTTCATTAAAAAAAAATTCATATTTAAATTAATTTAATTAAAAATACTTAAACTATTGGGATCTCTGGCAGAAGCGTGTCGTAACAATTTGACCTATCTACTGTAATTTTGAATTTAGTCACCAGATAGCGTATTCAAGTGCTACAGATCCCAATACTAATACTAAATCAAATATTTATATTATATAATAAATCTGAAATAAATGATACGAGAATTGAATGTTTTAAAAAGGATTTTCTGAATGATGAGAGAGATTCGATTTGGAAAAGGACAGAAAATTCTATAGAAAACTGATTGACTTTTGTTTACTACGTTTATTTTATCATAGTAATTGAAAATTATTGACTTAATCAAGATGAGGAAGTATTATCGTGTAATTATCAAACTGAATGAGACGAGAATGCAGTTCTTCGATAAGCTCGATGATAATTTGTTCGACAAACAAATACGATTGTTCGAATATGCCGAATCAATGTCTCCTAAATTTATTTGATAATTAAATAATTTATCGTATTTACAATTCGATCAATCGATATCAACTATTGTATAATATCTCTCTCTCTCTCTCTCTCTCTCTCTCTCTCTCTACTTTTGTATTTTCAAATTAGGCTAACAATTATTCCAATTAATTTCCAAAACATGCAACTTCATTCAACTAATATAATTTTTTAAATAAATTAAAATAAGTAGAAGGTTATATGCATTTATTAATTATTATTATATATTTATTTATTTATAAAAATATAATTATTGTGTATAAGAAATTGTTTTTGTGATATATCAAATAATGGTACTTACGTATTAACGCCACAACAGCAAAATTCCGCTAATGCGCCAATTTACAACTTAAATTGTTGCAACAAATCATAGAATAAAAACCCTGACGAAACCCTGACGAAACCCTGACGAAACTCTGACACAAACCTGACGGTTGCTGTATGCAAACAACAAGATTGCTCATTATTGGTGCATTAGCAGAATTTTTGCTGCAATGACGTTAATACGCAAGTACCCAAATAATTATTAAATTATTATTCATTTTGTATAATTAAAAACAATCTCTTATAAAAATTTAACTATTTATTTTGCATTTAATAATATAATTCAATTATTATTTCATTTTTTTTTTCAAATGAACAAAATCTGTCTACATTTTACACAAATAATTTCTTTCATTGTTCACAATTTTACATTGAGAATAATTCGAAAACTTTTTCCTATATAATTAAACATCAATTAAAATGAATAAATTCATTGGAATAATAAAGAAATAAAATCGAGGGGTGGTTATGGGGTGTTGCTTTGCTAGAGAGGGTAAACTAGCCGAAGACGAGGAGCATTCTCATTATACCCTCTTGATTTATGTGCATGCCATCTTGAAAATCCTAGGCTAGAAATAAAGTTTAAGGAAAAATAAGACACGTCTGGCTGGCTGGCTGGCTGGCTGGTTGGCTGAGTAAAAGTTAAGTTGCGATAGTTAGAAAAGGAATAAGAATAAGAATAAGAAAAAGAAGAAGATAAAGAGTGAAACAGGGGTGAGAAAGGGAGTCAAGGGAGGGAAGGGAGGAAGTAAGGTGATGACAAAGTCTGCAAAAATATATTACAGAAATAAGCTTGCCGGTGGAGTAACGCCATCGTTTAAAAACTTTTTGACTATACCAACCTTCCCCCTCTCTCTCCTCTTCAAGACCCATGTTACAACCCCATTTTTTTTTGGTTAACAAACGAACAGTTAAATATATATATATATATATATACATACAGATATGTGCGTTTTAAAATTAAATATTATTAAATAAAAGAGTGGTAAAAAAAACACACACACACACATTTAAAACGATACGTTCAAATTGTTATTATTTGCAACAACCTGGTGAATCTGAAAAAAAAAAATATAATTTTTGTTTTGTTATATTTGTTTTATTAATTATTTTTTTTTTTACTTGTTATTCTTTTTATCTTTCCCCTATTACAATGAATTATTATACCGTATGTTTTTCCCAACAGTATAGAAAGTTATTTTTTCATTTGGAAACATTAATAAAAACGCAAGTATATACACAGGTAGGTAGATAGGTAGGTAGGTAGGTAGGTAGGTAGAGTTACTGCTTTATCCCTCCGATGTTTGTAAATTTATCGTATGAGACCGTACCACGTCTCGTTGTTTCGTATATTCCAAGCTGATTAAGCGTGGAATGTTGTGGGTCCTTTCATTTTATTGCACGAAAGAGGAATAAGCTCGCCTAGAGGGATTATTAATTTGTACTCGGCATTTTACTTTTGAAAAATATC